AAAAGAAGTCGTCTTCCACCACGACAATGCCAGACCCCATATTTCATTAACTACTCGGAACAAATTGTTAAGGCTTGGCTGGGATGTTTTGCCTCACCCTCCTTATTCACCGGACCTGGCACCCTCTGATTATTATTTGTTCCGGTCGTTGCAAAATTCTCTGAACGGGAAAAACTTTACTAATAATGAAGCTGTTAAAACGCAACTGGATCAGTTTTTTGCCGGTAAACCTCAGACATTTTATGAATGTGGGATTATGAAATTGGTAAAAAGATGGCAAGAAGTCATAGAAAAGAATGGTCAATACATTATTGATTAGTATATATTTTGCATATTAAATAAATTGTATTTTATACCAGTCAAAAAAAACGAACGAACTTATTTGCCAACCCAATATGTTCATGTTCTTATTACTTTGTTTATAATTAGCGGTACTGCGTATGAGTACATCTCAACCAATCAAATCCATGCACAGTTTTAGAGATACCTCGTCCCTCAAATCAGCTTCCTTCCCCTTACCTATAAACTCAGCTTACGCTCCATCCATATATTCCTACATCCATGTACGGGTATCGTTCTGTCTTCGTCTGATAACGTGTGGAGTGAGAATTTCAGTCTCACTGTAGGTGCGTTCACTTAACGCTCGTAACGTCATTCTATCTTTGTTCTCGTTGGATGTTGGATAAAGATAGAATGACGCTCCCGTCGTTCGTTAAATGGAATTTGCCCTATGAAAAGATTCTTCGTCTATGATATTAGGTGTGTGAATAAGTTCGGTGTACAAATAAGTATCTTTTTAGCATGATTATAATGTTTATTCACAAAACACGAATAACCTATTAATCTTCGAAATAGTTCCCATCATGTTTCGTACACTTTTGCCAACTTTCGAGCAGCTGGCGAAGCCCGCTTTGATAAATGAATAGTAGTTTTGACTCAATGTAGTCATCGATACTTTTTTTATTTCCTCGACAGATTGAAAGTGGGAATCCATTAAATGATGCTGAAGAGACCAGAACAGGTGATAACCCGTAGGGGCAAGGTCCGGAGAATAAAATTGCATTCGGGAATCCATATTGTGTGCACACTACCAGACATCATGGGTGCGTTCTTTTATTCGCAATAGATGCAGCTGGGCGGATCCTCATTGACCACGTTACGATTGGACACAGTTCGATTGGACACATTCGATTGGACACAGATCAATTGGACATTACATATTTGGCACACTGCACGATTGGATGCCACAAATTTGACACACTTCACGATTGGACACCGTAAATTTGACACACTGCTCGATTGGACATTGCACAATGGCACATTACTCGATTGGATACCGCAATAAACTGCATCTATTGTATTGAAAGTGTCATTTGCAATCGTCTAATTTGATCTATTCTCGATTATCTAGTCTTGATAAATACATGTGATAGACTAGATATTTGAGAATGGATTAAAATAGACAATTATGATTGACACTTTTAACATAGTAGATGCAGTTTGTATTGCATTGTCCAATTGAGCAGTGCGCCATCGTGCGATGTCCACCCAATCGAGTATTGTGTCAAGTTTAAGTCCGTGTCAGACTACAGATTGGAATAGAGATTGAATTAAAATTTGGCCAATCAGAGCTAAATTCGTTAAATTTGAGTTTAGTGAACTTTGCTTCGATTGGTTAAATTGCAATCCAATCTTAATCCTAATACGTAGTCTGATACGAGCATTACGGTGTCCAGTCAAGTAGTGTGTGTCAATCTTAGGGGCTGCTTCTTCTTTCTCTATTTTTTTATTTGCAACAGATGTGTCTAGTGGATGCATCAAGATTACATTTCTTAAAGTTACTAGCTAGGAACAATAACGTTCCTAGAAATCACATTTTTCTATTGGTTATCGGATCGTCGTATGTTTGAAATTGGACCTCAGAATTAATCTTTCAGTATTATTGAAGGTGCATAAACCCGTATCAGACTACGGATTAGTGATTAAGATTGAAATGAATTTGGCCAATCAATACAAAGTTAACTGAATTCAAGTTTAGTGAAATTTAATGAACTTTGCACTGATTGGTCAAATTTCAATTCAATCGCTACGGGCTTAAGGTAATTATAAATATTTAAGTCTGCAAAAATTAATACCAAATAATAATATATTTTGCAAATGTTATTAACCCTTCCGGTACGAACGTTCTGTCCGCCGTGACACTCCCGCTGTACGAGGCGCCGCTCCGAAAATGTACATATAGCGCGTGGTCAGTCCTTTTTTGTATAAAGATTTTCCTAACCGTTAAATAAGAACTGTGCTTAATCTAATACGTTGGTAAAATAGAATACTCTATAGAGTTACCAACTATAGATGGCGTTTGTGCATACAGGCTGTTACATGGATGACGGATATATCCGGTGCTCGTACACACAGGTCATCAGATGGACGCCGGATATATCCGGCGCTTGTCCCGAAAGGGTTAATTGAAATTGATTTTATAAATGTAACGTAGCCAGTTGTTAGAGACTTCATATCATATAAATTATACTAAAAATTTAATAATTATTAACTATATAGGAATTTTAAATAATAAAAGTTCCTCATTAATTTACAAGTAAAGTTGATACAAAATTCTCGTATTCATCATCAGAGGATGAAGAGTCTTCAGAAACTATTTGAGGTATAGTTATTGCAAGAAAACTTTATTGCTCCCACATTTATATCCAACTACATCTCGATTAATTAATTTGTCCAATTAGTTTTTACAGCAACCATTATAAATATTTAGATATTATTAATACATATTTAATTATATTTATTGAAAGTACTACATCAATTAATTAAGATTGCCTAACCCATCCTTTTAACTCATTAAACGCGTTTCTTCTTCTCAATTATGGACGGCTCCAAGTTACATCAAACGCGCTACTTTCTGCACACCGAGGAGTCATGTTCGTACTTAAGGTTTCTGCATTCGATCAGAATTCAATCTGTCGGCAGTCATTTGGATTAGGATGCTAAAAGATGTAAACAAATTAAACAGTTCTGCTTGCAACTTGAATTAAATAAGGATCAAGATTAACGTAGCTCGCAGTTGCTGTGTGCAATTAGATATAAGGAACGGCTAAATTATGAATCGGACACAACGGGTTGCATCTGTTGGGAATAAAAGAACGCAACTCGACCAGTGTCTTTCACTGGAGAGCAACCTATGAATAGCGACCCACGTTCCGTCCAGATATTTATACGTCCATGGTTGGCCGTTTCGTATCACAATGCGCAGCAGCTGATATGTAAAAATGGCCGCTGGCACCGATGTAAACGATACAAAGCGAGGATAAGACGAAGCATTTGTCGCGCGATTAATATGAAGGTGAGAGCGTTAAACTTATGATTCGATTGGTTTCCAATGTATCACGAATACGAAGGTAACGTAAGCGATTTCCGTGTCGCATGTTCCTCTCACACAATTTATCCGAACGCATCGAACTGTTCGTCTCTCCGTCATGTAGCGTGATCATAGATAAGAAACCATCCGGCCAACACGCTCGTTGACGGTTTGTTACCGCCGTTACATCTGCCCTACGAAAGAATCGGCGAGATGAACGTAGCAAGAACCGCCCAACGGATAACAGCGGATGATTACTTTTTCTTCGATGATACTCGTCGTACTGTAAGATACTTCTTCGATGCTTCTTTACGCACATACGTTGCAGCAATGATGATCTTTTCACTAACTTTTCTTTCTTTCTTTTAAGGAGAAACTGTGGATCTCTCAGGTACCATAGACATATATGTCATTGAAGTTAAACATTTCCAGATCAACATTTACTCAAAGCAGCTGTTAGCAATATAATGGCTTACGATCCACGCAACATAAAGTATTCACCAAATACTCACGCCAATCAGCACACTAGATCTAACATGACTGGATACGCATATTCTGGCCATCCACCGCAGCATTTTCAGCAAACTGATGAAAATAGAAATGAGAATAACTTATGTGGTACTAAAGAGATTTGTTCACAAATCTCACAACAATCGTCCAGCACTCAGACTGTACAGAAAGTAGATGCTGCGACCATGACAGATCCCTTACAAATCGACTTTAGACTTACCTCTGAATATTTGGCACGTTGTTCTAGTACATTAGGTCTGCCGTATGTAACTAAATATGAAGATAACAGCAATAATTCTACACACAATTGCCAGGAGATAAGACCAAAAATTGAATTTGAGATTGAACCACAACATATTAATGGTAAGTTACTTCATTTTTCCTTAATCTTTTAAAGAATGTATTTTTCTGCTTGAAAAAATTTATATAACATCTTCATATTACACACCCACACACACATATGTTTTTTGAGATCACTGATAATGATTTTAGATATTTTTATGATTCCGAGCTCAAAATTAAAATTTGACACATGACAGTTGTTAAAGCAGTTGTCAATTTTCATGATATGTTTTTTTCGAAACAATATATGCAAGATGGTTTTCAAGGTCACTAATTATGATGCCGACTAGATACTCCATCGATTTAACCGTTGTCAACTGACAAGTTGCGATTCTGGCATTGATATTGTAACTTCAAAAACTACTTTATACATATTATTTCAAAGAAAAACAAGTATATTTTGAAAATGACAACTTTAATAACTTTAATAATCGTCATGTTAAATTTTAACTTTAGCGTCATAATCCGTAACCCTAAAAACAAGATAGCAAAATTTGTTCATGTAGAAAAATGTACCTTCCAAAGATATATTTAGGATGTACATTTAAGATATTCTAAAATGGTATTCTTAAAAAAATTAAGCAAATGTACTTTAAAAAAATGATGAAAAAAATTATATAGATCTTATGAGTTCTAGTGATATATCAGTGAAATTCCAGATCTATTGACTAAATTCTTGAGTAACAATTTTTTTTTAAATAAATGTTTTACACTTGTTTAGTAGCTGTTAATAAATGAATAAACTCTTAGAAATGAATTGCAGGATATTGTACAGTAAAGGTATCTTTCTAAAATACAGACATATGTGCTGATATATAATAATTACAATTACAATGATTGACATATAATAATGAAAAATTTTAAAAAATATAAAAATAGAAAGGTAAAATGTACACTTCTCATTGCTCTGCAAAATGCTAAAACAGTTTTCTACAATTTTGTCAGCAGCTTGTAACTACACATAACAAAATATTTATTGAAAACGTTGACGCAGGTTATTTTATATGACGTATAATTCTTTTTGTTTATCAGGTATGTTAATTTACCATTGCCCCGAATGTGCATATAGATTTGAAGATCGTGAAGCACTCCATGAACATCTCGAAGATCATAAACAGAGACCACATATCTGTGATATTTGCGGGGCAAGTTTGAAACGAAAAGAACATTTAGATCGTCATAAACAGGGCCATAATAAGGACAGGCCTTATCAATGTAACATGTGTTGTAAATCATTCAAACGTAACGAACACTTAGCGCGTCACATGATTACTCACTCGGGTAGCAAAAATCAAATTTGTACAGAGTGTGGTAAAGCCTTTTACAGGAAAGATCACTTGAAGAAGCATTTGCAAAGTCATAATAGCGGTCGGAATAAGCATTTAAATATCTCGCAAAACAATCAGAACGATCAGCAGCCGAATGACGAGGGACTGAGCAGTTTTGCGATGATGATGAGACAAGCTGGACCTCCTCCGTTTTCTATTTTGCGAACTTAGTTATTATGCTATAACAATGCTGTAATATAAATCTTTAATCTCTGTCTACGAGCGAGACTATTTGGACAAGCTAGGTTCATAAGATTTAATACGAATGAGCTTTACCTAATATACCTTTGCGGAATAATCGAGAATCGTTATTAATAATGTAAGAGCCCATGTTCCTAAGGAAGTTTATCGTTACGTATTTTGTCAACGAGTAGGCGAGCCAAGGGATAATGTTATCGATTTTTGTAATATTCCTTATAACACATTATACATGTAGAAGGTTGTTTATACATTAAGACAATACCTACTTAAGTTTTCTTTTTTAAACTTGAATGAGTTTGTGTTAAGGCTCTTGTATACTCGTTGCAATTATTCTTGTTTGATCACGTCAGAAGTGAGGAAATGCATGCCGGAATTTCTTGCGGTATACGTTCAAATAAAACTATATACTCGCAAAATAATATATCTATATATATCTTTTTATTTCAACATATACCGCAAGAATTCTTGGTATGCATTTCCTCACTTCTGACGTCATCAAATCATCATCAGACCTCATCAAACATGGACAGTTGCAGCAAGTATACATGAGTCTTAAATGTATAAGTTCTACATAATTTTCATTATTTATATATTCTCATGCGCATAGACTTGTATAATGAACATACATGCACGGCCAAAAGAGCCTCTGTAAATCGCGCACGTCTAATAAAATTTGAGAAGAAATTAACAGAACGAAATGTAGCTCCCCAACTGGATTAAAAAAAAAGAAACTTGAATATTTAAATTATACTACCTTAGATTATACATTCAATATGACATGAGCATGTATGGATATATATGCACGTGATGATCGTTAATTGTTTACATAGAGATGTTGAGTAATGACTGATAAAATTGTCTATCTTATTAATTGTACAGTGTACAGTCAAGTAATACACAATTTTCGTTTTATTTCAAATATACTCTATTACCCTAGAAAGAAAAAAAGTAAAAAAGCGCTATAAAAATTCTTAACGACGCCAGTTTTTTCGCTCATTTATCTAATTATTTGCGTTTAAAATAAAATTTTAAGGCGTAAGTTCCATCAAGCGAGAGATTAATTAGCGTAATTACGACTAATATATTGTATAAATAAAAATCTGCAATTTTTTTTAACGATCAAGCGACGAAGCGCCTCTATTGATATAATGATTCATGGAATATTTTGCGTGAGAATTAATAAGAATGCATTAAAATAGCCACTGCGATTATAGTAAGACTTAGGAATTGTTAGTGCGAAGCAAGGAAACCAGTCATCCACATGTGAATTCATTGGTGCATATCTGTAGATAAAATGATTGATTGTTACTTGAGAGAACGGTTTATTGCTGAAGAATTTCATGTATACGAAAACCCCTGTTAATGTATCACAATTCCGAAGGTAATTCGTTGAATTAGAAAAGATATACTTGCACACAGTTTTCTTTTTCCGAAAACACAAAATGATATTGATTCTTTCACTTTTAATGTTAACAATACACGTCCAATGGCAGATCAGGCCACACGTTCATTAGCTGTATATATTAAGCCCTCATCGCACGATGCTTGTCTTCGTGTTAACTCGCATGCGAGCCACCATGCCAATTAGCATGCTAGCTAGCACGCTAGCTACATAACTCGAAATCACTATAAATTTACTGTCATGTGTGTTAGCACGTTGGTTTTCGAAGATAAAATGCGCATCACGCGATACTTATTTCGTGTTAACTCGCATGCGCTGATATACTAGCATGATGGCTCGCATGTGAATTAACACGAAACAAGCATCGTGTGACGCGGGCTTTAGTATAAAAAACTCGTGATATATTGTCACCCCTTATCATTATATTGTTAAGTTGTGCTCATTACATATACGCCCAACGTTGTACGCGCGCAGTAAGATCTGAATGCCTAGAAAGAAAAAGATAGCGTTTTATTATTTAACTATGCAGTGATCTTGATTAAATTAATAAATGATTATTATATAAAAATATCTACTTGGCGTCAGTGATGCATTAGTGAGGGATGTCCCACCTGATTAACGCCGGCACATTAACATATGCATAACATATACGTGTTGCCGAGCGAAATTCTCTGTGAAATTCACGTGGCTTCGAAAAGTGAAGCGAGTCGAGTCGGCCGAGCGATTTAAGGCGCGAAAAAGTGAGCTCCTTCACACGGTTCAGCACAGTTAGGGAGCTCGAGACAGCGATCGCACATTTCACAAACGCCCTTCTACATGGAGAGACTGCCGCCGTCTCATTCTTTATGCGATGCCATTCGCGCGAGCGTGAGCATCTGAAATACATAGGTATATCGCTTTACCTATACGTGCTCCTTTTTTCCTCTATAATAATTATAATTATATTTAATGAATAATATTTTTTATATAAAACTATAATTACAATTTTGGTAATAGGTTTCCATATCACCTGTGAGGTACTATTGTTGACGCGTTTTTTTTTTAATTCACGTTCACTTCTGAGCGTTATGAAAATTCTTTCTCATTCAAGCTGAGACTCAATATGCATTTTCTAACGGTAACGGCGCGACTGGTTCGGTCAGGCCGAGGAAGGTGCGGTGTACGACTGCACCGTTACAACAGCACCCTAATAGTGCATATTGTGTCGATTTACTCATGGTAAACGAACTCATGACTTCATCATGGTTCGTGAAGGTTGATTCGTTTGAGAACAATACATGACGGAAAAAATATGGATTTATTTGTATATGGATCGTATTTGTTCGTATACATAGACAAAATATCACTCGATTATGGAAATTATCGCCATGGAGTTCCTGGTACAACGAAATGTGGTAGGGGTGAAACTTGCGACGCTTTAATATTCTGAGGACACTTCTTTGTGATATTTCAGAATTACGAGAAATTTCACGAGAGCTTACATAAGGGTTTCGGGCAATTGTTAACACTGCCATCTCATTATTTTCTCCGGTGACAGTTGCTCTACATTTCCTTTTTTCCGATTATACATTTCCATTAGTAGTAAACAACGCGACAAAAAGAAGCACGTTCAGACGTTCTCTCTCCCCTTGCCTCTCTAAGATTTCCCCCCGCTAACACTACCGAACCTCTTTAAATGCCACACTCCGTATAACTCCATATTTACTTTTATTTATATAATGTATAATAATATCAAATTTGTTGTAATTATACATAACTAGATGAAATCAGACATAATTAACTTTTCAATCTATTACAAATTTCAAATTAATCAGATATGATTATACACAGGCTGAGGCATTTATATTGAAACGTCTAAATAAAATAAAATGAGAATATATGTAAAGCAAAAAGGAAAAGAGTGTTTCAAATAAAAGTTGTAGGGTTTGGGAGGGGACATAAAACGGTAACCTTAACTTCATTATATATACGAGGGTGGAACAAATATAAACGAGTCTTTTGCAAAAAAAAACCATATATTTTTCAAAATCAATTCTAATTTATATTTTTATTATTTTTCTAGTCCCCCATCTTATCTATACACTTCCTCCAACGGTCTGGTAATTTTTAAATCCTGGTATCATAAGAAGTTCGCGGATGTGTACGAGGTCTGTTCAAAAAGTATCGCGAATTTTGTGTTTTTTCAAAAATTATTTATTTATTCATGAAAATCTATTTTGTCTCCTTCAAAGTAATCCCCATCAGATATTATACACTTATGCTAACGTTTTTTCCAATCCTCGACTTCAAAAAATCATTTTTTGTGATCTTGTTCAGCTCCTCCTTCGATGCCGTCTTTATCTCCTCAATCATAGCATAACGTCGTCCTTTCATGTGCCTTTTCAGTTTCGGGAACAAGAAAAAGTCACAGGGGGCCAGGTCTGGAGAATACGGTGGCTGCGGCATCATTAGTGTGTTGTTTTTGGCCAAAAATTCGCGCACAAGCAACGATGTGTGAGCAGGGGCGTTGGTACGAATTTCGCGGCGACCCGTCTCATGCCCAAATCATTAGTAAAAATCGAATGGCACGAGCC